TGGGTAGCCTAATCTTCTATAAATATTTTTGAGTCTTCATTTTCTTTTTTTGCCTACTCCAGTTCTTGTTTAAACTCACTAAAAATTATTATGTGCATTTTGGGCACTTTTTGTGTGAAGTCATATTTATTTTGTCCATCAAAAGTGAGCTTTCACTTTAATTGAGCGTCAGCAGCGCAGCAAAAATAGACTTGGCGCCGAAACCCCCGCTTCACTGCTGCTCACGCGCCGCTCCTGCTTGACTCATTGATTAACATGCACGCCGAAAAAAATACGCGCTGCTCACGCTTGCGGTGTGAAACGGCCCTTACTGGCTATTTAAATCTAGCGGGTTTGATGTCTCGCAAATACAATGACGCTGGTAGTGACGATTCTGTCTGACCAATCAGTGATCTGCAGTGTTTTCACGTCACATTTTAGTATCGGTACAGTATGCTTGGAACCTCAACAGAGGTGGTACCATTTAAAGCGAGCCGTACCATGCAGTGGAAAAGCGCCAAAGCGTGCCGTGCCGTACCATGCAGTGGAAAAGCGCCACAAGTGACTTCAGTGGCTCAATCTTAAGTTTATCAAGCGACGACAATAATTTTTGTATGCAAAAATAACAACTTTATTCAACTATTAATTTTCTTATGTGTGGGCCTCTGAGTGAGTTCACAAAATTGCCGCACTACATCGAGACCCATCTACGTCATCTTCTCAGTTCTCGCTGTCTCGTGAACTCTAGGGCTGGGACGATACACCTATCTCCCGATTCAATACTATCACGATACTTGGGTGCTGATACTGCTGATATTAGGATTTTTTTTAGGATTGCGATTCGATATTGCGATTTTTATTTTATTTTTAACACTAGACCATCAGAAAAAGTTAAATCATACACTTATACAGACTGTACAGGCTACATGATGTATAAGATGAGTCATATTTACAAAAACAATTCATCACATCTCTCTGACTTATTTCAGAAGCATCATACGATAGTACTACATTCTCTTAAATAAATGATTAAATAAATACATTTTGTAAGTCACTTGTTAAACAATGTAATCGATAATTATTTTATGCGTTATTTTAAGCTGGTTTAGGGGCCGATCACACCTAAATGCGTTTTTGGCAGTGAGAGGCGCCTTTTTTCAATTGATTCCCTATGGCAGTGCGCGTTCTGTACGCTGTTTATACACCCCAGGCGCCTCGCGTTTAACCGCCGGTTGCGCCTCACGTTTTTGGAGTTAAAAAAAAATCAACTTAGAGCAGTAAATGCGCTGTCCTCTGTTTTTTTTCCACTGTCCAATCGAATGAATGGAGAGGCGGGTCTTCCGTTGTAGTTTTGAAAGCTACTGTTGCTTTGAACGCCGGAGAGTGCGATGATGGAGGATAAACTTGTGGTGCTCTCGGGGGTTATCAGGAGCTTAACGACTTCACAAATCATAACTACCACAATGTTAACAGAAAGTAAACAAAGTTAATAAAAGGCTGATTTGACGTTTACTTGAATGACAGGACAGCTGTTTCTGTGTTTGCCTACCAACAAAAAATGCAGTTCACTGCTCGTTCTGTTTGATTGGGTCAGTGCTGTCGCCTCGCGTTTTCGGACCGGAAAAACATTAGGTGTGATTGGGGCTTTACTCTATTTTGATCGCTATCATAGACATCAGTGTTTATATTTTTTTAAATTTAAACTTTTATCCTAGTACTTCTATTAGGGCTGGGTGATAAAACGATAACAATAATTATCGTGATATAATTTTTCTCGATAAAACGATATCAAGAGGTCGATAAATGTTCGATAATGTGTATGCGCCAAAAGCGGAACGAAACTCATTTGAACCGCGCGCGCCTCACGGACCGTTTATCCGCTCGGCTCAAAGTCCAAATGGCAGCGCAAGCTCACTAGAGCAGACGTGTTTACTCCGATCGTCTCGCTCAAGAGATCCAGTGAGAAACACTTGAATTCAGCGAAGAACACAAATGTCCAGTTTAAATCAGTTTAAAGGCAGATGAAACACCGCTGACAAACAGGAGAAACACTGTGCGCAACGATATAGTCAGAATCTGAATTGAAACTGAATCCATTTAGCCTAGCATGGATTTACTGTAAGGTTAGCCTAGTAATATTAACTGCACCATGAAATGTGGGATATACATATTGAATTGTATAATATTATTAATGTAGACAATGTATTAAATGACTAATGGAATATAATTACAGTATTTAATAATGTATTTAACTGTTAGGCTACTGTTTTTCATACAAATACCATAGAAACCATAAAGTTACATTTTGCCATGATAGTGAGGTGCTATAGGCTGTACCTGGCTTTATCTGTGGTTATCATGATCTAAATGCACGATACTGGATGACCAATGGTTAATTTTAATAAAACTCAAACAGTCAGAATATTACATTTTACCAAATAAAAATGTGGTCCTTAAATAAAAAACAAACAAACAGATGTTACTGTTTTTGTTAATGAACATAAATTTAACATAGTCGTATTAGCTTGAGTTAGGATGTAGATTTACTGTCAACTCACTGTCAAATATGCATTTCGAGACAAAACATGTAATTTGAATATTGCAGCCTGCACTGCAAACTGTGCTGAAGAAATATTTTTCTTTTCAGATATTTATTTTGTTAAGGAAAAATGACAAATGTTTGAATGTTCTACCTCAGATTTTTAAAACCACAACGCTCTGGTTTATACAACTTTCACTTAGGAGCAAAAATCTGCCTTTAAACTTGAAAGAAATAAAGATTTGACGTTTATCGTGATAATTATCGATATCGACTGATATAAAAAAAAATATCGTTTGTGATAATTTTTTTTTGGCCATATCCATAACTTCTATGATAATTTGAACTATTGTATTACAGAAATAATGATACTATTAGGTTGAAAAGACAGTTTGTGAAGCTGTTTCATGACGTCTCTGGGTCAGCACAGCTTTAAAAGTTGCGATATGATTTTGTCAAAGGTTTAATAGACAGACGAAATGGAAACAAATCGCGTGGGTGATTGAATCGAGATCAAGTTTTTTAAAGATGAATCGTGCAGCTCTATTGTATTATCTCTCTGTATATGAGTAGCGCAAGGGCTTTTCAATGCATTCAATCTCACGTCGCTTTCACGCGTCCACTTGAAAGGGATATTACGTTACTCAAAGATAACGACACATTTCATTCTCTGTTGGAACGAAAGTGACTTACTTTGGTCAACCTCGTCTATAAGCAAGGACAAAAATAAATTTAATTTGAATTAATATCGATTCTTTAATAATAATACAAAAAATAAATTTTAAAATTGAAAAAAGAAGAAGAAAAAAAAACGTGATACCTAGGTGAATCTATTTTTTTCTCCCAGCACTAGTGAAGTCACTCAGAGGCCCATACGGAAGAAAAGGAATAGTTGAATAATGTTGTTATTTTTTTATTTATTTTTTTTGTGCACAAAAATGATTGTCGTCGCTTGATAAATTCGCCAGAATGAAATTGCCTAGAAGCCTACGGAGGAGTGAGCCAGCTTTCAGATTTCATCAAAAATATCTTAATTTGTGTTCTGAAGATGAACGAAAGTCTTACGGGGTTGGAATAACATGAGGGTGAGTAATTACTGACAGAATTTTTAGGTGAACTAACCCTTAAAAACGGTTTTCATTTCATTTAAATGTTTATATGAAAATATTTGTTGTTGTTTTTTTAAGCTATAATGTAGCGTTTAAAATGTATGATAATCATGAAATGTTCTACTTTTTGATGTGCTGTAAAAGTGTGTGCTTATAATTCACATGGTTGTGTTAATAAAAAAAATTAAGTTGAACGAATGGTGCAGAATTTTTTTTCTAACCTTAAAATGTAATTTTAACATGAAAGAAAGTGGACATTTTAATGTTCTTTGATTGTTGTATTGTTAATAACATTTTTGGGGAAAGAACGCTGCAGGAACGTTATGCTTACCTTAAGATAATGTTCCAGCAACGCTATGTCAATGTTCCAGCAATGTTAAGATAATGTTCCATGAACGTTATGCTAACCTTAAGATAACGTTCCATGAACGTTTTGCTAACCTTAAGATAACGTTCCAACAACGTTTTGCTAACCTTAAGATACTGTTCCATGAACGTTATGCTAACCTTAAGATAACGTTCCAACAACGTTTTGCTAACCTTAAGATACTGTTCCATGAACGTTTTGCTAACCTTAAGATAACGTTCCAACAACGTTTTGCTAACATTAAGATACTGTTCCATGAACGTTATGCTAACCTTAAGAATGTTTCAGCAATGTTGTGCTTGCTAACGTTCCAGCAACGTTATGCAAACTTTAAAATAATGTTCCAGCAACGTTATGCTAACCTTAAGATAACGTTCCAACAACGTTTTGCTAACATTAAGATACTGTTCCAGCAACGTTATGCTAACCTTAAGAATGTTTCAGCAATGTTGTGCTAACGTTCCAGCAACGTTATGCAAACTTTAAAATAATGTTCCAGCAACGTTATGCTAACGTTCCAGCAACGTTATGTTAACCTTAAGATAACGTTCCAGCAACATCATGCTAACGTTCCAGCAACGTTTTGCTAACATTAAGATACTGTTCCAGCAATGTTACGCTAACCTTAAGATAACGTTCCAGCAACATTATGCTAACGTTCCAGCAACGTTTTGCTAACATTAAGATACCGTTCCAGCAACGTTAAGCAAACTGGACATTTCAACGTTTTTAGAACATTTCAAACCAACGTTCCCACAACGTTCTTAGAACATAATTTTGTTAGCTGGGTACATTCAAGCTAATTTAAGGTATGAAGAATTTTTTTTCCACAGAGAAAAGAAAAAGAAAAGAAATGGTGATCAAAAATTTGTTTTAAGGTATACAATTATTGACTATGGGGGACTTAAATACGTTGATACTACAAGCTAAACGCTTAAAGTATTTTTTCACTTCTAAAACACACTTCCTACATTTATGGATCTCATTTTGAAGCTAAACTCAGTACCGGCCAGATGCTCTCGTTGGGCGTTCCCAACAGCTGTACGATCAAATCCACCTGCTGGATCTCTGAAGCTCCAGGTAGAAGAGGCTTATGGGCAAGAAGCTCAGCAAAGATGCAGCCAACGGCCCTGCAAGAGGAGAACATAGACATCTGTTCATGAAGACTGAAAAGATTCTGCTCTGGTTTTCACACACACACACACAAGCGGTATTTTGATCTCTCTTAGGCGATCCGATCACAATTGGCCAGACAAGACAAATCATAGACCTTTTAACATGCAACTCAAATGTGTCTTCTGTGACTTTCTCTAATCAGATTTTGAGTCTCTGATTGCATACATTACTAGGCATAACTGTCACTGTGTGTTGATAAAGCATTTAAAATGTGAATGTTTTGTGAAGTCCTAAGTATATATGCACTTTTTTGTTGTTGCAATTAGGTGTTTATTTTCATGTCACCAGCCATGTTTAAACCCGTTTAGTGGAGTGGTTGACTGCAGGGGTGGAAAGAGTACTGAAAAAAATATACTTAAAGCTGCAGTCCGTATCTTTTCCTCTTTGTCGCCATCTCTCTGTTCGAAATCTGTAACTGCAGTGATTCGCGGAATTATTATCTTTACGTGGGTTGTAAATCGGCATGAAACAGCGCGGATGAACACAGTGCTTTGAGGCGAGTGCTGCTGTCAGTCACCGCGCTGTGTGGATATACTGTCATACAGAATCACAGATTCACTTTTTGAAAGTTTGACCAACATAAGAATTTTCATAAGAAAATGTCTTCTGAACAAGTAAGTAACATCCATTTTTGTTCTGACCAACTAAGGGGGAAAAAGCATTCGACATGATAAGCTTCGTTAGATTTAATCAACGCGATTTACAGCAACCGTGCAAATTATAGCCTACTTTGTTCTCAAATTGTTCATGTTAACAACATCAGCATTGCGTGACTAATGTTAAATTTAATGTGTTTTATGGTTACCTGCGTAGTTCAGAATTCATATTCTCCATAATAGCAAAACGAGAAAGGCACAACAAAGGAAACTCCATAACTGTGTGAATTAAGAAAACGTACTGTTACACGATTGAACTATTGAAATGTCTTACTTGTTCAGCAGAAAAAAGCCGTCTCTTCTTCCGTTTTGAACCCCTTCAAAACACGGAGTTCACGCACTTTTCAAAAGCCCCGCCGATGTTTAAATCCACTGTGTTCGCATGAGACGGTTTCTTTCTCTTTCTCTAGCCACCTTAAATCCGAAGTACGAAGTCTTTTGGGTTTTATAACTGCTGAATCTCCAGTTGACACTGATGATTGTTGTTTGGATCTTTCTGGATGCCATAAGTTTAATTATGTAAAGTGCTGCGAGAAAAGCCTATACATCTAAACATCTCGTCACGCGCAGTATAGCCGGCTAGCCGAAACTCCTTCTTTATGTGTACGGGTGTGACGTAATGACGCAAAGACATGCTCGAATCTCCCGCGGAAACCCACCAGTACCACTGGAATTAAAATCATTATTACAAGCTAACCGTTTTGAATCTAGCTATGGCAAGCAGATAGTTTTGACCACTGGCAGAATACGTTTTTTTTTATATAATTATTTTGGATTATTTTTAACTTAAAAAAGTTACGGACTGGAGCTTTAAGTAAAAGTACCAATCCATTACTTTACAAAAATTGTAGTTTGGGAAGAGTAAAAGTACTTGTCCAAAAACCTACTCGAGTAAAAGAGTTGCTTATTTAAAAGTACTCATGAGTTGTGAGTATTGAGCTGCGGATTCTCCACCCTTATAATAAACACTGTGATCACTGTGATTCACATTCTCCTTTGTTGAATGATAGAGATTCTTCATTCTTTCTGACAAACTACAGTTTTAATTTTGACTTTTGTAGTATTTGCCTGTTATTTTAGACACAGTTTATCACTGATAACAAGTAATGTATTTTACAAAGACGAAAAAGTTACTTTCAGTATCCTCATCATCATTTTAATTCATGTATAAAAAAGGTAAGTCATTTTAATTAATGAACATTGAAATTTTATGTGCAACAATAAGTCATTCAATATTCATTATCAATTTGTAATTCGTTACTTCACACCCCTGGTTGACTGACAGGTGATCACATGTTTCTGACAATACATCATCTATTTAGTGCTGACCACCTGCAATCAGATCACCGGAGACAGATCTTAACACAATGCGTCAACACGGTCACACTTACACAGTACATACCACAGAAAGACATTCACATTTTTATTTCACTCTAATGCTAAAACTATTTAAGACAATTACTTTATAAATTAAAGCAATTTAAAATAGTCATTTTTAACATAAATCATTACTACTTTTCACCCTTTACGCATTTGAAGTGCCACACGCAGTTTGGAGAGTCTCTGCTTATTTACGATAAAGGGTAAATAAAGAACTGAGGATTTTAAAGGGGGTCTTCCCGAAAGTGTCGTTGTTCATCTAAATGAACAGAAGGTAACTTCGCTTTTAGATGCTGCTGTGTTAGCAGATGAATTTATCTTGACACACCGAAAAGTCTTTCCATCTCTTCGGCCGTCGAACACTCAATTTACTCATTCAAACACTGTGACACAAGATTCAACACATGTATTCTCAGGTGCATCAGGAGACACTGCTTATTCAGACAACAGATCTGCCCCTGGTGGAAGAGGCCGACGTGTCTGTTTTTACTGCCTAGGTCCAGATCACTTCATTGCCGACTGCCAGGCTTGGAAAAAGAAGAATGTAGATGGTAACTCTAGAAATGTTGCTCTTATACAAACGATGGCGTGCTATCAACACGCATAGTTTTTTGGCGTGCTATCAACACGCATAATCGCTTTTCAGCGTGTTTATCAACGCCTTTGACTTAACGTTATATTACTGTATTATGTAGATATATGACCTACCCCAACCCCGTCCCTAAACCTACCCGTCACTGGGGTTAATACCATTTATGAGTGTTCCCCTACCATCCTAGGAAAAGAAATATCGCTCCACAGATGTAGATATAGATTTTGCTTCGTTTCGCTCGGACATTTAACGGCGTACACATACACGCGGAATCACTCGGACGTTTAATGGCGTAGACATACACGCAAAAGATTTCGGCGTGGACATACACGCGGATAGCTCAAAATGCGTATAGATAACACGCCACTTGACTTGAAAGTGGCGTGTATGTTTACGCAAAGTCATGATGTCATGTTGCTTTGATTCTTATATCATCTGGTGTGGTCTTCACTCTGGGACAGAGGAATTGAAGTGTGTTCTTGTTTTTTTTTTTTATGTTAATTTTACGTTTTCTTTCCTTTGTTACTTCTCCTTCCGACCCCTAGACAGTTAGGGAACGTAACAAGTGGGTGTTTCTTATGTATTTGAGGAGCGGAGAAGAGTGTCTTGCATTTGTCGTTGAGTCACAGACAAAATAGCCTGTGCGTAACGCTTCATTATAATGTGAGATTTTGGCCAAATGACAGAAAAAAAAAAAAAAAAAAAAAAAAAACGAGTGCCCACATAACTACAATAATCTTCATAACCTTTAAGCTGATGAAAACGTGATGTGATGGACTGACTTTCTCAGATTCAGCCGTTCTAATGACGAAAAAACTCGACATTCACCAGAAAAAAACGTTGTCTTGGCATATGAGGCCCAAGTTCAGCCGTGACCCGTTGGGGTGCCACAATTACACAGCTGAACAGCTGGTACACACCGCCTCGGCCCCTCACCGCAAAACTTGAATGTGTGAGTGCAAGCACGCTTCCTTATATACCTGCTTCGCGGGGCGGGGTGTGCGATGCAAAATGTCCATTGGCTTGTTTAGTTTACACTCGAAGGTTGATTGGGCTGTCAGGCGAGATCCCAATTCGTCAGTTCAGTTCTGACGTAACGTCTCCATTCCCTCCTTTAGGGAACGGGGGTTACATTGACCTAGACCTTCTTATAATTATAGTCTAATGACAATAATGGAGATGCACTGTTAAATAATAATAGCAGTAAGAGTAATAATATCAAAGCTGATGTAAAACAAAAGGGTGGTAGGTACAGAAGGTGACTTAAATATATAAAAAATATTGATCACACTTTCACATTTTTTTCTTATACCTATTTTTACTGACTTATTTGTTTCCATTTTGTACTCAGTGACCAATGGTACCATTTCCATTGACGGCTGCCTATCTGAAATACTGTCTCGAGACACACAACCAAAAAGCTTATGTCTTTAAAGACTCTCTGTTCCTTCTGCTTCTTTCCACTGTGTCTTGACTAATATCTAAAAAGGTAATCTGATTACACAAGGCTTTGTTCTGGCACTGTTTGTACAGTTCTCACCACATGTCCAGGGCAGTCGTCTGAGTTTTGGTCCCTAGGAGGAGCTCTGGTGCACGATACCTGTGAAGAAAACATTGTCAGTAATGGAAAGAGGGATTTGATGGATTAGCGGGATGATAGAGAGACTAATCAGCCTGAAGTTTATCTGCTTACCACAGAGTGACTACTCGAGGAGTCATGGGCTGTAAAGGGATACCATAAACACGCGCCAGACCAAAGTCAGCTGAGGAAAAAACATCAGACATCCATCACTGACAGAAAACAGAAGTCCACATACAGAGTAGCTCATTGAGTTCCTGATTCAGAATATGTGGGTGAATCTCATAAAACCTGCCAAGTACATTGTCTAGGTCATAGTTCAAGTAGTTTGGGGGGTCCAAAATTGTACTTGTAAGGATATGTGTACAGTGGACAACAACACACAGCTATAGTTAATTAAATGATCTTGCGTCCTCCACATAGTATTTTAGATTACGTATGGGACAGAGGACTTCTCTTACTTAGATATTCAACTGTAGCAAGCCCACTGATCTGCCACTTAACATTATATTGAGCAAAGCCCAACACAACGGCAGATCTACAATATTAGCCTAATACCAGTTCACACATAGGCTTATCGCCATGTTGGTTGTAGTGGGTGACTTACTACCCAACAAGCTGCGGTATTAAACAAGCTAGCAAACAAGCTAGGTAACGTTTTAATAGCCAGTATAGCGGACTCATTACATTGGAAAAAATACATTGGGTATCATCATTATTTTATTTTATTTATTGATGACTCCGCATCATCTGTATTAAATAGAAAATAATCACTTCATCCAATGTTTAAAGTGAATAAAATAAGCCTAGTTCCACAACTACTGAGAACTCTCCCACTGGACTTGTGTGGGTAGGTGAGGTAAGGGTTGCCAGGTTCACAACAAAACCCTCCCAATTGCTTCTGTGGGATTACAAATTTAAGAATCTGTTTAAGATCTGCTGATCTTATGTCCTTACATAACATAACATGAAAAACTAAGGTAGAGTACATTGAATTTAGCATGTAAGGTTACGATGATGATATCAGCGGTTAAGCAAAGTTTCCAGCAAGAGATTCCTGCCAGTCCTGTTCTCTCTATTGTAAGTTAAATGAGTCAGATTACTGAGGCCCCATCCACACTACTGCGTTTTAGTTTAGAAACGGATAATTAAAACGAATACAATCTCCGTCCACACCAGCGTTTTAGCTGCGTATTAGAATTGATCACCGTCCACATTAAAACGACTGAAAACGCGGATCACGTGACCATTCACCAACACTGGGCATGGGTGTGCCGGTGTAAACACAACTTCATTGATAAAATTATCCCACCATGCTCTGGGTTAACCCCAAACCGACGCTCTATGTACGGTCAACGCCGCCGCTGCACACAGGAATTGTCACAGATCGCTCGAATAATAGCTTGACTCCGGCGCATGTAGACGGTTATAGCGCTGTAAAATGCAGAATTTACTTGTACAACAGGGAGGTGCAAACGTAGCAAAAGGTCTCCGTTTTTAAAGGAAAACGCAGTAGTGTGGACAGGGCCTGAGACTCTCACCCTTTGTCTTTAATGGCTCTTGGAGCCCCTGTCCCAGTCTTTGAATGCTGATTGGATTAGGATTGGTAGCACTCTAGAGTCTGGGGTGGGTTCCTATAGCTGTATACTTCATTTGCATGCTTTGTTTAAGGTCGTCACCCAGGTGCTTTGTCTCCATTTCTAAGCACTGCCCTCTAAATGTATATAAACTACAATGTACACAGCCTTAGTTAGACTTGATGACTGCAGCTACCGACAGCTCGTGTTCTCAATAAAGAATCCTGCTGAAGATTCAACCAAGTCTCCTGGTCTTCGCTTCAGAGTTTTTTCTACACTACTCAAAACTAGCCCAAAACTAGCGTTCCGGAGGGAAAAATCTGTTTTTTTTGGCAGGGTTCCCCTGGTATATCCCCTGGTGTCGATTCAACCCGCGGACTTCAAAAACAACCTGGGGCAACACTGCAAAAGTAGCCCAATTCTGCAGGAAAACCGCAGATTGTAACCCTCAGATGGGGTAGGTCCAGACCCTCATGTGATTTCCACCTAGGCATTAAGATAATCAAGCCTACTTGCAAGAGCATTTTCACATTATTCATGCCAATTAAATCACATTTTCCACTCATTCTCTAAATTTTATTAATAAAAAAAGTGTATTTATATCCACTCACCTATCTTAACACAGCCCTTGTCTGTCATCAGTAGATTGGACACCTTCAAATCCCTTTAATAAAAATCATAAGCATCAACATGAGAAATAACGAAATTCATCATTTGAGTTAGGGCTGGGCGATAAAACGATAACGATAATTATCGCGATATAATTTTTCTCGATAAAACGATATCAAGAGGTCGATAAATGTTCGATAATGTTTATGCGCCAAAAGCGGAACGAAACTCATTTGAACCGCGCGCGCCTCACGGACCGTTTATCCGCTCGGCTCAAAGTCCAAACGGCAGCGCAGCGGGAGCTCACTAGACTAGAGCAGAGCAGACGCGTTTACTCTGATCGTCTCGCTCACGAGATCCAGTGAGAGAAGCGCTTGAGTTCAGCGAAGAACACAAATGTTTAAAGGCAGATGAAACACCGCTGACAAACAGGAGAAACACTGCGCGCAACGATACAGTCAGAATGTGAATTGATACTGAATCCATTTAGCCTACCATGGATTTACTGTAAGGTTGGCCTAGTAATATTAACTGCACCATGAAATGTGGCATATACATATTGAATTGTATAATATTATTAATGTAGACAATGTATTAAATGACTAATGGAATATAATTATAGTATTTAATAATGTATTTAACTGTTAGGCTACTGTTTTTCATACAAATACCATAGAAACCATAAAGTTACATTTTGCCATGATAGTGAGGTGCTATAGGTTAGGCTTTACCTGGTTTTATCTGTGGTTATCATGATCTAAATGCATGATACTGGATGACCAATGGTTAATTTTAATAAAACTCAAACAGTCAGAATATTACATTTTACCAAATTAAACAGATGTTACTGTTTTTGTTAATGAACATAAATTTAACAGAGTAGTATTAGCTTGAGTTAGGATGCAGATTTACTGTCAACTCACTGTCAAATATGCATTTCGAGACAAAACATGTAATTTGAATATTGCAGCCTGCACTGCAAACTGCTGAAGAAATATTTTTCTATTCAGATATTAATTTTGTTAAGGAAAAATGACAAATATTTGAATGTTCTACCTCAGATTTGTGAAATGTTCACCTGTTTGGCAAGTGTTTGTCATGATATGTTCTGGCAATAAAGAGGTAAAACCACAATTAACGCTCTGGTTTATACAACTTTCACTTAGGAGCAAAAATCTGCCTTTAAACTTGAAAGAAATAAAGATTTGACATTTATCGTGATAATTATCGATATCGACTGAAATAAAAAAAATATCGTGATAATTTTTTTGGGCCATATCGCCCAGCCCTAATTTGAGTTCCACATTATTCATACTGGATAATCAGTAGTGTCCGTCAAAAGTTTGGAAACATTACAATTTTTAATGGTTTTGACAAAGTCTCTTCTGTTCACCAAGGCTGCATTTATTTAATCAAAAATACAGTGAAAACAGTGAGTAATACTACAAATTAAAAGAACTGTTTTCTATTTGAATGCATTTTAAAATGTAATTTATTCCTTTGTTCAAAGCTGAATTTTCAGCATCATTACTTCAGTCTTCAGTGTCACATGATCCTTCAGAAATCACTCTAATATGCTGATCTGCTGCTCAAGATACATTTCTGATTATTATCAATGTTGAAAACATCTGTGCTGCTTAATATTTTGGAAATTGTGATGCTTTTTTCAGGATTCTTTGATGAATAGAATGTTCAATGAACAGCATTTATTTGCCTTTATTAAATATATGTAACATTACAAATGTCTTTACTGTCACTATAGATAATAGTATGAAAAAATGTATAAATACTGTGTAAAATGTACACAGTAAATGTAAATTCTCTCTCTTTTTTTTAATAATTTTACCACACATTTTTGAATGGTTTTAATGTTTCCACGAAAATGTTAAGCAGCAAAAACTGTTTTCAACATTGATAACCATAAGAAATGTTTCTTGAGCAGCAAATCAGCATAATAATGATTTCTGAAGGATCATGTAACACTCAAGACTGGAGTCATCGTGTAATTTATTCATCACAGTAATACATTACATTTTAAATGTATTCAAATAGAAAACAATCATTTTAAATCATTTTAAACTCTTTTTACTGTATTTTTGATTGGTGCAGCCTTGGTGAAAATGTTGACAGGTACAGTAACACTCAGTAGCAGGGGCTCTTAAATGTAGAAAAGAAAATTATTTTTCACTAAGTGTTCACTGTGCAGTTGATGAAATAGACTGAAATCTCTTACTGAACAGAACAAGCTTTGATTAATATGAGTACGCTCTGACCTGTGAAGAATGAAGTTGTGATGTAAATACTCCAGTCCTTTAAGCAGCTGAAGAACTATACACTTCACCTGCGAAAGTCAAACATAAGATCAATACAGCTGCAAGCAGCAATTCCGGGACCAGAGGACAACAGTGCCAGATCTATAACCAATTAATTCAATTAGAGATAGCATTTCCAATGATAATTGTAATAAACATCTTGCTAGGTGTCCTCGACATTGAATTATTGATGCATTAAATGCAAACGGTTTGACCTATCAGAAATTCTAGAACTTTTAACAAGCATGATCTGAAGATGGTCACAATTTGGTGGTTCATCAAAGTAGGAGCCTCATTCATAAACACGCATACAATCAGATTTGATCCTAAATTCCATGGCTTCCATCCAGCATCAAAAGTGAGGAACAAAACGGGATTTTAAAACCGATGTGAAAATGTTCTTATGCCTATGCCAGCAGAAGAGCATGCATACAAACTTTCTAACATCATTTACTAAAATGTAAAGATAAATAGAGAATCATGTCCAATATGCACTAATATTATTATATGCACACATGAGCAACATTAACTGCTTTGTGATAATTACAATCACTGAAATGAATTCTTTCTGTTTATGAATATTCTTGTGTGTGAATCTACACATGCACACGTTGGCCAGAAACCGGGCCATGATGATGAGTGTCATACTCCTTATGAACCATAAAGCGAAATTCTGTATTCTGTAGATGGAGTCGAAGCGCTTGTTCACTTGAATTAAAAATGAACTGCAATTTATTAAGAGGGATGCAGTTAAGAACTTTTTTGAACGTACAGCTGTTTTATAAATCATTAGTAAGAACATTTCGAAGACTGTCAAACATCCAAATATAGGATGATTTTAAATGAGGCCTTATGTTTTCATTGAAATACTTGTGTCACTTTAATCTGCATGACCCAATGAATTTAAAATGAGGACTTATTTTATAAAATGATATGCTTCCTCTAAATTTCATAGGTACTTTCAGAGCATGGTGCTGATGACACATACCAAAGAGTTGGTAGGGCTGAAGAGCAATATAGCCCAATAAAGATCTTAAAGGGTTAGTTCACCCAAAAATGAAAATGATGTCATTAATGACTCACCCTCGTGTCGTTCCAAGCCCGTAAGACCTCCGTTCATCTTCGGAACACAGTTTAAGATATTTTAGATTTAAAAGAGTTTTCTATGAAGGTAAAAGAGTAGCAATACTCAAGAGCACGTAGATGTGAATTTGAGAACTTGTACAATAAATATTCGTACTTGTATGTGAACATTTACACTCACAGCTCCAATGTGAAAACCTGTAAAATAAAAATCTGAAGTTGAATGTTGAAATTTGCACTCGCAGACAATAGTCACAAACCTGTATTCTGAATTTGACAAGTAGTCACAAATGTGTAAAATGCCATTCACAGAAATACAATGACACGCACAAACATGTAAAGTATATTTGCACTTCTTCTAACATTCAAATTCGCAGTACAACCTCAAATTGGCACTTGCAACTTCTCAAATCTGTCACTGCAAGTTCAAATTTCGCGCCTTGACTTTTGCTACTCTTTTCGCGATATATGAGGTGCTAAACTAACTTGTCCACTTGTAACTCAGTAGTGGCGAGAGAGAAAAGGGGGCAGGAGCGGGGGTGTTCAAAGGAGCCGTTTTATTGGAGCTTATTTATTTATAGCCAATGAAATGGGACTTCTATTGTACGCGATGATGTCACGAAACCCGGCTCCTCGTGGATGTTCTGAAACGCTAACATGGCTTAACCCTCTGGGCTTCTTCGTAAATGGGTTACACTTAGCTTCCTCCCGGTCAAAAACGGGCGAAGCCTTAAAGGGGTCATATAATGCCATTTTTGTACAAGCTAATATGATTCTTTAGGGTCTAAATTAAAAGTTTGTAATATACTTTAATTAAAAATTCTCATTAGTATTGTAAGAAAACAGTTATTTTACCTGGTAAAAAACAGCTCTGTTTTCAGCACGCCGTTTATGACTTTAAATGATCATGAGCTTTGCTCACCCGCCTCTCTGTTCTGTGCGTACACGTTTGTAACACAATAACCATAACGCGTTGTTCATTATAAACGTGGGATTATGAATTATATTGAGAACGTCGTACATAGAAAACATGCCGTAATGTACCCTGAGTGTAAACCTTAGACGCATTCATCGTGAAGCGTGCAGCTAGCGATTTGCAAAGATATAAATATTAATATAAAGGTTAATAAAACGTTACACTCACTTCAGTTGTTCTAGAGGTTCAGCAGGAACACGAATAGCTGGTACCGATCCTTTATTCAGGAGCAGCTTCTTCAAACCAGCTTTATACTGACCCTCCTTTATAAAGCAGTCTGCTGAGAAATGATTCGCGCAAACATGAGAGCATTGACGTTGCTCGTGGGGAATATTCCCTTCGAAAACAAAACTCAGCCACTGCGTCTTCAGCGGTTCGAATTTAGGAACATCAAAATTACTGCTGTGTTCGTTATTACACCCAAGAACAGAACACCACAATCGCTTAGACGCCATTCTGCTCATAGACAGTGCTCCAGCATATCAACAATGACCGCGCCGGTCCGCGCAGACTATGATTGACATTGTCTGTGTTGAAACCCGGCTGTCAATCAACAATCGCGGGAGGGGCGTCCGACCGTGTGACGTCACACGGTCGAACGGCTCGATTTGAGGCAGGGGAAAACATATAAGGAGATTAAAACAAAAACACTGGATAGATTTTTATCATTAAATGATGGTTGTGTACAGACACTGCCAACACACATTTCAGTACAATCAACTTGAAAAAGTGCATGTACCATTATATGACCCCTTTAAACTTTAACTTTATTTTTTCCCAGGATAACCAATCAAATATATGTTTGTTCTATAATATTTTCTGATCATTATTTAGATTTTTTAGAGTTTTTTATGATACTTTGCATTAATTATATAATTTTTATGAGCTATTTTTTCCATTAGAATTGATATATATATATATATATATATATATATATATATATTATATATTTATATAAAAAAAAATTCAATAAATGCAACATTTCACATCAAAATAGAGTGCCAGCCTAAAAAAAAAATGTTCAAATAGAAGAGCGCCATCTAGTGGCTTTACAAAATAGTTACATGTGTGCAATGTCCTGTACCTGCCTATAGCTTCCTATATAAATACATAGAAAGGCTTTTTGATTCCTTTTGTTGTTTAAGACATGATTTCTCTATCTTATTCGTTTTTTTTTTTTAATTTAGATATACATTTAGATATTCTAAAAGACGACTACTTTATTTTTTTAACAAATTTTTTTAGGTAAGTATCAGGTTTTGCATTATGATTACAATCAAACTATAGCATTTGGTTAGAAAGGGAACACAATGCAAACATTTTTGTTACTCAGTATTTGATCATTCAAATAATTGAACAAAATTAGGGATGGTTAGTGATAATTCAAAACACTTTATACAGACATTTTGCAATGAATTGGTATTTTATATTAATTTTAATTCATTAATTTGATAATTTTGAATGATATTATCAAACTTAGCAAACAATAATGCATACTACAGAAAAGCAGATGAGCACAGAATATGAACGCAACACGTTAAATTAAGACAGTGGTATTAAGACCAAACTCAGGAAACACCATAAACAAAGCATACAGAAAAGCAATTGAGCAGAATATGAACGCAACTCGTTTAATTGTACATTAAGCATTTTCCTCTCATAGAAAACCAAGAAAACGCTTAATGATGCTTAATGGACCAACAGTTATAAAAAAAAACTAGTGCTGGGCAAGTTAACGCGTTATTATCGCGTTAACGCATTTATTAATTAATGCCGACAATTTTTTTATCGCGCGTTAACGCAGTTTTTTTTATTATTATTATTTTGAAAGTCCGTTGCTCACTGGCTCTGAATACACATAGGCCTACAGCCAAACCATGATCACAGGAGGGGTGGGATGTTGGTCAGCCAGCAAATAACCCACCCAAACAAGCAGTGGAGGGGCTTTGGCAGGTTCTCTCAGGTGAACAGAAAGGGAGAGCGCTCCGCGAGTGAATGACAGGCGCTCCATGGTAACCATGCAACGGCTTCTGTGCGCTACGCAGCTGTAGCCTTTTTAACTTAAATTAAAATTATACATAACTTTACCTGATAGGCCTGCGTTTAGTTCAGCGGGGATGCTCTGCCATGTGAATTCCCTCCTGTTGATGTCCTGATAACTATTTAGATTCTGGAAACTCACAAACAGCGAGCCAAGGATCAGTCTCTCTTCCAATGATTTGTGCTGCGCGTCGTGTACAAAATTCAACTTCGGCAACGCGCGGGCGCGTGCGTGAGGCGAGCATGACCGCAACAGTTTCACAGGAACGCACCCGCTTGTTGCTGCACCTGTGCTCGACCACTTCACCTCACTCTAGGCTGATTTATAATTCTGCGTCGGACCTAAGCCGGAGCCTCTACGCTATAGACTACGCGTTGGTTTTCATTTATATATCTGCGTCCAGCGTCGTTGTCCGCGTTGACGCGCAATTACACATGCAGAGGGAGAGTGTGAAACCCGGGGAGAGTGTGAAACCCGGGGAGCGGTTCTAGCAATCACAGCGCTTGCAGTACGCGAAGAATTGACGTTACATTTTTTGAGAGATGCACGTCAGGGTACGCGCGCTACACAGCTACGGCGTGAGTTCGACGCAGAAGTATAAATTGGGCTTTACCTCTGTTTAATGTAATCTTACGTGGGAAACCATGGCATGCCATGACCAAACCTAAGCTTCTATCAGAGAAGTAACGTTGGTCGACTTATATCTGTAGTAGTGATCATGACCCTTTAACTAGACTGTTTCTGCTGCTCCCTGATACAAGATACCTGTTCAGAAAAAAAAAAAAAAAAAAGAAAACTGGACTCTTTTTAACAAGCTAGATAAAAGGTAATGCCCTGGCAGTGGCAAATAGTTTTGTTTAAATATTTGATTTGATTACGTTAATGTTTAAGTTGAGATTTACAAGAAATATTGTATTGATACTGTGTAAAGGCAATACTGCTGGTATAAAAGCACCTTATTTGTTTAAAGTTTTTGCAAACCACATGTTATTGCACTTTTGTAGCAGTACATTAAATCAAAAGTGCGCAATACACTACTTTAGAATTCATTATTCAATATTGCGCGTAACAACGCGATTAATCGCAAGAAAATCATGCGATTAATCGCGATTAAATTTTTTAATCGTTGCCCAGCACTAAAAAAAACACAATTCGTTATACATTATTAATAAAACACAGGCAACTGGTTTATTTCCACTCAACACAAATTTGCTTTCTTTCGTCATATTCTGTGCTCATCTGTTTTTCTGTAGTAGCCTATACTATACATTATTAGTATGGTGTTTACTAAGTTTGATAATATCATTTATGTCTTTTAAATCAGTCTAATGCATTAAAGACCCACTCCGATGAAAATAATGTTTTTCTAGGTGTTAACATGTTCTTGTGGCATTTTTCTGATGTTAGAGGACATATCTTGAGAAAAATAAGCTCAAAGTTGTATTTCTGAGTATTTCTACATTCAAATGGCTGTGAATCAGTAGCAGACGCTAAAATGCCGGCTAAAATAGACTGGAGTTGTGACGTAGTAACTCCACTGGGCGTCTCCACACGCGACATCTTGGAGTGAAATAATGATCGGTGATAACTTTGATTAACTTCGGATAATAATAATTAACGTGTATATAATACTGTTGCCCCACCGGTATTGGGGGTGTAAGCTAGCGGGAGAGACAGAGCTCTCAGCAACAGGCAGGGGGAGGGTCGTCTCCGTGCCAACGGCTCCGCCCACAACGCAGAGGCGAATTGCTAATGAGCTACTGCCGCTCTGCTGAAGCGAAGTCCCAGAAAACGGCACAGGTTTTGTGATTTTGGCTAAAAATGGCATAATCATAATTTAAAGACCACTGGGAATGTTTAAAAATAGCTCAAAATATGATCGGAGTGGGACTTAAAGCCCATAGCCATGTTAGCGGTTCAGAACATCCACGAGGAGCCGGGTTTCGTGACATCATTGTGTACAATAGAAGTCCCATTTCATTGGCTAGGCGGCAACCAATAAAACGGCTCCTTTGAACACCCCCGCTCCCGCCCCCTTTTCTCTCTCGCCACTACTGAGTTACAAGTGCACAAATCAGTTTTGCACCTCATATATCGCGAAAAGAGTAGCAAAAGTCAAGGCGCGAAATTTGAACTTGCAGTGACAGATTTAAGAAGTTGCAAGTGCCAATTTGAGGTTGTACTGCGAATTTGAATGTTAGAAGAAGTGCAAATTTGTATTACAAGTTTGTGTCTGTCGTTGTATCTTTGTGAATGGCATTTTACACATTTGTGACTACTTGTCTGCAGCTTCAAATTCAGAATACAGGTTTGTGACTATTGTCTGCGAGTGCAAATCTCAGCGTTCAAGTTCAGATTTTTATTTTACAGGTTTTCACATTGGAGCTGTGAGTGTAAATGTTCACATACACGTACGAAATATTTATTGTACAAGTTCTCAAATTCACATCTACGTGCTCTCGAGTATTGCTACTAATTTACCTTCATAGTTTTCTGTCCCTCCATTGAAAATGTATGTACGGTATACTGTCCTTGTCCAGAAAGGAAATAAAGACATCATCAAAGTAGTCCATGTGACATCCGTGGGTTAGTTAGAATGTTTTGAAGCATCGAAAATACATTTTGGTCCAAAAATAACAAAAACTATGACTTTATTCAGCATTGTATTGTCTTCCGGTTCTGTTGTCAATCCGCGTTCAGTGCCGCTGCTGACGTAAGACGCTGCTGACGTGTATCTGGTGCGTCCGTGTATTCAGGTTCAAATAAATATGGCTGGGCAAAAAAAAAGCAAGTCTTCTTCTGTGTCGAAATCCTTAGACATGTTTGCGAAGATTGTATTGTTTTGTTTTGTTTACTCCCTCAGAGACTGTAAACGAAGCTCGGGCGCACCAGATAACACGTCATCAGCGTCTTACGTCATCAGCATCACTGAACGCGGCTCGACAACAGAACCGGAAGACAATACAATGCTGAATAAAGTCGTAGTTTTTGTTATTTTTGGACCAAAATGTATTTTCGATGCTTCAAAACATTCTAACTAACCCACTGATGTCACATGGACTACTTTGATGATGTCTTTATTTCCTTTCTGGACAAGGACAGTAAACCGTACATACATTTTCAATGGAGGGACAGAAAACTCTCGGACTAAATCTAAAATATCTTAAACTGTGTTCCGAAGATGAACAGAGCTTGGAACGACATGAGGGTGAGTCATTAATGACATAATTTTCATTTTTGGGTGAACTAACCCTTTAAGAGTACTCACAATATAGCCAAGATAATTTTCAGATTTAATGACCTGTAGTGCCGTAACTGCTCGGGTATCTTCAGGGTGTCGTGGCGATGACATATCAAACTTAGTTTCAACAGGGTACATCAAACATTCATCATTACAGCCTGCTTCGCATTCAGCCCCACTTCATGTTTGTTCTCGGACAAATTCATTGAAGTGTATATGAAAACGGTTGGTATAATGAAAAGCTTTTAATAACTTTTGATCATGATGGCCTCAAGATGCTCAGCCATAGGAAAGAGCTCAAAAAAGCATGTCTATTTAAAAATTCTAAATGGCAGAAATTCTGGTTGGGCACAAGTTGAAACCATAGTATGCATTTGACTAATTTGATAATCTTATCTGTATTGCACATTCATATTGATAAAACCATACACATGCCGCAGACTGTTGCTTCTATGTGTTTAACCTCTACCTTATATTTTGTCTCTGTCCAGTATTTGCAACAGCATAAGAGAATTCTTACCATGTCTTTAAAAACCTATTCTGATTCCAGACTTATGGCATAGCATTTCAGTGTATGAAGATGAGGTAGTTCATCAAACGCACCTGAGCTTCAGAGAAAGGTGACTGCATGTTCTCCAGCAGACTGGCGAGATCTTGCTCACAGTAACTCATCACCAGAAAGAGGCTGATGTTCAAAATAATAAGGCATTATGAAATAAGACACGGTATAACAAGACTTAATTACAAATACATTTCATACAACTCTGTTTATATCTGTGAATGAACAGTATATATTTTCTTTAGTCACCTCTCTAAATGGCTTCCCACCACCACCTCTTTCAGCTCTACAATGTTTGGGTGTCTCAGTCTGATCAGCAAGTTAATTTCCCTCAAACTGCTGATGGGAATCCCTAAACATAGATAAACAAAATAAATACCATACAAGGTTTCTGTTTCTACAGATGTAAAATATAGTTCAGGTGTTTCCTTGGGAGTGTTGTATATTAACTATATTTGTATATATTTTTTTATAAAAATTTAAAAGTGTAAAATAATTGGTTCATGTTACATTTAAAGGGATAGTTCATTACTCACCCTCATGTCATTCCAAACCCGCAAGACTTCCGTTCATCTTCAGAACTCAAATGAAGATCTTTTTGATGAAATCAAAGAGCTTTCTGTCCCTCCATTGACAGCTACACAACAACCACTTTACACTTCAAAAAGTTCATAAAGAGGTCGTAAAACTAATCCGTCTGAATTGAGCAGTTAAGTCCAAATTTTCTGAAGAGACTTGATCGCTTTATATGATGAACAGATTGAATTTAGGCTTTTATTTACTTATAAACATTCATCAGTTATGATAAACAGAAGCTTAAGCATGTTCACTTGACGTGCAACAACCAAACAGGTTCATTCTCATGATACTCAGCACGTTTGAGCTTCTGCAAGAACCAATAAGGTTCATTCTTGTGTTACTCAGCACATTCTTGTGTTACTCAGCACATTTGAGCTTCAGCAAGAAGTTTGTTCTTGCACGTCAAGCAGGTTCGGTTGAGCTTCTGTTAATGTTTGCTGATCAATGTTTATATGTGAATAAAAGCCTAAATTAAATCCATTTATCATATCTTCAGAAAATTTGGACTAAACCGCTCAATTAATATGGATTAGTTTTACAATCTCTTTATGAACTTTTTGAAGTGTAAAGTGGTTTTTGTGTAGCTGTCAATGGAGGGACAGAAATCTCTTAGATTTCATCAAAAAGATCTTCATTTGTGTTCCGAAGATGAACGAAAGTCTTACGGGTTTGGAACGACATGAGGGTGAGTAATTAATGACAGAATTAAAGTTTTTGGGTAAACTAACCCTTTAATGTGTATTATTTACTCAACCTCATACACTAATTTCAAACCTGTACTTTTTCCATGAAACACAAAAGGAGAAATTTAGCAAAATGCCCAAGCTGATCTTTTTCTCGGTTCCACCTGACCAAGTGTCGAGGTGTCCATGAGCAAGACACCTAACCCCGGCTGCTCCCGACGAGCTGGATGGCGCCTTGCATGGCTGCCGTCGCCCGTCGGTGTATGAATGAGTGTGTGAATGGGTGAATGTGAGGCAAATGTAAAGCGCTTTGGTGGCCATTGGGTCTGTGAAAGCGCTATATAAATGCAGTCCATTTACCATTTACCATTTTTCATACAATAAAAGTGAATGGACAATGGGGCTATCAGACACCAACAAGGACAAAAAGCACCATAAAAGAAATCCATATGGTGTGTGTGCTATACTCCAAATTGTCTGAAGTTAGGGTTAGCATTGTGTGTGGACACAAATTTACAAATCTTGGCTTTAGTCCTGACTATCAAACTTCCATTCTCACTTTCACATTAAACCCTCCTCTAATATTACCACCTCATTATCTTTTATGACACACACCAAAAACTTTCAAGCTGACAGTAATAAAACCCCTTACCAAGAAACCACAACTTGATCCTGGAGAATTAGCTAATTATAGGCTGATCTAAAACCTTAAAAGTAGTAGCATTACAATTAAAACTCAAAAACGGTTAATTTTTTTGCTTAGAAACAGCATCAGTGAAGAAATTTTGTCCAGATTCATGCCTCATCAGACTGTACTCTTATTGGCTCATCTCCTATCTAATACTGTAAGATCTTAGCACCGCCATTGAAACTATAGACCACAACATTTAGCTGTATAAGCTTGAGAATTATGTTGGCATTTGTGGATAGGCATTAGCATGGTTTAGATCAGTGGTTTTCAATGCTGGTCCTGGGGACCCACCGCTCTGCACATTTTGTATGTCTCGCTTATCTGATGCCTACGGACAGATTAATCTACAGACAGATTTCAGCAATCCTTTAAGATCATTACAAATCACACAGTACGACATGGATCTAATAAACTTGGGTGCGACATGTATGTAGATTGTACGGTGATGACACCTACTGAATCATAGGCTACGACGCAAGTTAGTATAGAAAAATAAAACGGAATCAGCATGCGCTAGTGGTAAACAAATATAGCTAGATAAATCGCACTTTGGCACTTGGGGTTATGTCAGTGTTTCCCACAGGATTTTGTGAAACTGAGGTGGGTGAACATCGGTCTCTCTAGGGGGGTCTGGGGGCATTGCACCCGGAAGAAAATTTTGTAAAAGTTAAATTCATCAATCTGGTGCACTTTGAGAGTTCAAAACTCATTTTCAGAGTGCAAATTGAACAAAATGAGATCTAAATCAGGTGTGCTAAATAAAATAGACATGCAAAATGTGCAGAGCGGGTCCCCATGACCACGACCAGGATTGAAAAGGTTTAGATTAGGTGTGCAAAACTCAGTTCCAGCCCTGTAGAGTTTAGTTCCAGCCCTGCTCCAACAAACATACCTGTAGTTTTCGGGTAAATTCCAATTGGAAGTGAGCATCCCAATGCCCTACTCACACTGAAGGGCAGAACCCTTAAAGTGGGAACTTTGGAGAAAGCAGGGCACTTGTGTGTCATAAGAAGTTGTTTGGAACGAACTTGACGAAGGGAGCAACTAAAGACCACATAATTTCCTCATTAGCATCACATGGATTGTTATCACTACAAAGCTAGGCAGCGACAACAGGAATATCTTATTATTATTATATACTAGGACTGCACAATTATGCGCAGCTTGTCAGTGAAGCACAGCTCTGTGATCAGTAGTAAATGCTGCTCCATCTTCAAGCCTTCTCGGGTATTGTCAAAATAATAAAGTATATTTATACTTCAATGCTAATTGACAGCCTTTATCTCTGTATAGAATACTATGAAATAATATGCTGTTTGCCTTATTCTGAGTAAGAAGCCACATCATCTCACAGAAGGATGTTTTCAAACACTCAACTGACGTTATGAAGTGAGTTTGGACTAAAAACGTCTCAGGTTATTTGACTGTAACCCTGTTCCCTGAAAAAGTGGGAACGAGATGCTGTGCTGAGCGCTATGGGAACGCTTTGTGTATGACTGGCTGTGATTAATGTGTGTAAGACGCCAATTAAATTGGCCTTGAACCTCTGTCGATGACGTCACTGGAACAATCGCTTGTCAGAGGCTACAAATAGATGTGCAATAGGTGACCCCTACAGGTATCACTTTGTTTGAAGAGACGTCCAGGCACATCCTCAGTGCAGCAATGAAGCGCAGCATCTCATTCCTGCTTTTTCAGGAAACAGGGTTACAGTCAAGTAACCAGAGACGTTCCCTTTCAATAGCTACTCTCAATGCTGCGTCAAGCACTATGGGAACGAGAATACCCACGTCGCCGCACTGGTTGTTTCTGGATCCCTCACGGTTGTGTAGTGTGTGCTCACAAGCCCGGAGTAGCATGAACACCCAAACTATAAAATCTTTTAAATGTATGCGGAGAAGACCAGCCTGCCGCATCACATACTTGTTATAAGGGGGCATGCCTTGCCAAAGCATTCTACCCTGGTAGAATGGGCCCTCATTTCTAGAGGCGAAGCTTGACTGCGTGCCTCATAGGCTAGAGCAATGGCATCTCTCACCCAGTGTGACATTGATTGCTTGGTGGCAGCCGCTCCCCGGTTACGACCCCCTTAGCAACCGAAAAGCTCTGACTCCTGCCACTGGCTAGTGCGGTGGACGCAAGTCTGAAGAGCACAGACTAGACTCAGTCAGTGAAGTTTCCCCTGCTCCAGACAGAAAGCTTCAAGAGTGATCGGACGTACGGTCGAGTAGTCAGGGTTTCACCATTCCCTGGGCAAAGTCTAAGCAGGATGACGAGGTCGACAGAGCCTGCAAGTCCCCAATTCTCTTCAATTGCCATCAGAAAATCATTTTTAGAGTCAAAAGCTTGTCAGGTGCTGACTCTAGAGGTTCGAAGGTGGTCTCAACCAACCCTCAAGGACTATTGCTTAGTCCCACAAGGGGATTATAACTTCTCCTGCAGAAACTCCAGTACTAAAGCAATCTGGCAGTTAATTGGGTCTGCATGACATGCAGTACAGAACCTTTCAAAGACACCCTATTTAGTGGTATAGATTCTTCTCGTGGAGGAAGTCCTAGCACTGAGAGTTAGGGGTGTGCGATCTCACGATTTTTGATCATGGACGATTAAAATGTCTCCACAATCTGCTTTTGAAGAAATATCGTAGGATCGTGCATTCTATCAGTTGTTAACGCAGAAGAACGGGACACTGCAGTTCACAAAAGTTCATTATTTGCATGTGCTTTAAAGCCTTGCCGGTTAAACAGATGTGCTGTTCTAATATGCACTTTTCTGAGCGCATGGCGCATAGGCTACACCTGAAGCGCACATGCACTAAAAGCCTGGTTACTGGACTAAGTTATCTTTCGAGTCTTATTGCGCTAATACTGTGAAATACACACAAGGTTTACATAAACAAAGTTGGTTATGTCTAAAGTGAAAGCGAACAGAGAAAATTGTAAGAAATCTGCTTGTCAAATGTGCGTATATTAGACACGTCGCGTCTTAACCTTAGCACAGGTTTAATAGTAAACATACTGCCGCTTGTCCTTAAAAGGGATAGTTCACCCAAAAATAAAAAATTTCTGTCATCATTTACATCATTGCAATGTTGTTCCAAACCTGTATTAATTTCTTCCTTGTGCTGAACACAAAAGAAGATATTTTGAAGAATGTGGCTAACCAAACAGTTGCTGGTCCCCATTGACTTCCATAGTAGGAAAAAAATATACTATGGAAGTCATTGGGGTACATCAACTGTTTGGTTACCCACATTCTTCCAAATAACTTTTATTTTCAATAAGAAAGAAACTTATTCGGGTTTAAAACAAATTGAGAGAGTAAATGATGACCATTAAAATTTTGGGGAGAACTATCCCTTTAAATGTTAATAAAACAACAAAACACAAAGAGGAAATC